TGTTGTGTTTTTATAATGTTTTAATTCTTTGTATCTTGTTCTATTTAATCTAAACAAGCCCCTTAAAAAAAGGCAGTGATCACTGTTGGAGTCTCTCGGTTTTATTGCCAATATTCATTTGCAGCACATTTTAAAGCTCAGTTTTTAAAACCTTACGATGGAACTACAGCTCAGCCCATGCAGCAGTATATTAATGACTAACCTCGTATTGTGGATGGATTATCTCAGTTGTTTTCCTGACTGAAGTTTGGTCCATTTACAGCATCCTGTCATGCAATTGCATTTGTCACAACTTGATCAATTCTGTTTTTGTGGATGCCTGCATGTTAAACCTGGTAGAGCAGCCATACTGGTCATTTTATTAGAGATGAAAGAATTTAGATAATTTGTAACTCTCAGTGATGATGCAGTGCTTGTTTGACTTTGGGACCTGAAGTGGAGTTTGGATCCGGAAACAGCTTATGACTTCAGACTTAAAGACCGGATACTTGATTAAAAAAATATTTTCACATTTCTATATGAAGCAGCATGTAAAAAACAAACAAACAGAAAACAAACAAACAACAAATAAATAAAAAACATTAAGAATCTATGAACATGAATATACACAAATATACAATTAATGAATCAGTCTGTTATTGACTACATGAAGATTTTTGGTGAAAATAGGGTGTAATCAAGAAAGTCCCAGAATTTACCAATTTGTGCAATTCCGATTTCTGCCTTAAACCACGTAACCCCAACTAAAATATCCCTTTGCCAGTACTCTATTGAGACATATAGCATAAGACAGTGTTATAACATTTTAATTAAAAATTAATACGTGTGGCTTTTACCTGGCAGTATGGGAACAGGGATTCTGTATTTCTCTGTTAAAATGCTGAATACATCTTCAGTCACCGGTGTGTTCAATGGTGCCTGTAGTACAAACATTATTATTAATGGTTTGACTTCCAAAGGATTTCTAATAATATAAACTATAATAACAATATAACAAAACAATTATAATTATAACAATTTCTAATATTAAAAAAAAATCCATTCTTATACCTGTACTGTACTCTAACATACCAAACAATTTTTCAAGCTTCACAGAATTGTACAAATTATGTTTCTGTAACATATACTGTATTTTCCATTATTCCATGTATTTCCATGTTTGCACATCTAATAAGCTGCTGGTCATATTTCCTGTTTTCCTAGAAAAATATAAAGAAATAAAGGGTGGCTCCCAACACCTGCACAGTACTGTATGTGATAGTATGCACAATATGTTGCCTTTTTTAAATACAGCGTTCCCTACATGCAATCATGTCACATGCATTACACAATCTACAAAAC